TGTACCTGAAGGCAGTGAATCAGTTCAGAAGCATGGCTCTTCTTTCTCCCGAGGTGCTGACAAGTTCTGTTTTAATACACTGCTAAAAGAAAAAGAACTTCAGCTTCTTTCTCTAGGCATCTCAGCCAGCATCATAAAGCTCTGGTGCACAGTAATGGTTTTAATAATTAGAAGGCAGTGCAAGCTGAAATTATGTCCCATTCTTTTTCACTGAGTTAATGCAATTAAGTGTTCACTGCTGTTTTATTTAAACTGTGGACTCCTACTTCCACAGATTTTTACCTTACTGGCATTTATGCTTAATGGATTTTTTTTTTTTCTGTGAGTCTCAAAAAGAAGACAAGAAGTTGTGTCTTTGTTTCTTCCATCAAAGCAGAAGCCTTCCTGTTTGGGCATCTGATTACACGTAAAAGAAAAAGCCAGTATCTAAGCTGTCATTTGTATGGAATTATATTAGGTAGAAACACCATTTTTATGGTGCATTCAGTGACCACGCTGAACATCTTTAGATGCGATGAAGAGAGTGAGCTCCGTGGTGTAAACGGCCCTGAAGTTCTTCTAGAAACAGTAAAAACTTCATTATGTTCAATGAAATACAGTCAGTGGAAGTAGGTGCAGAGGAATTTTGTTCAGCATAGGATCTGAGAAATACTCTTAGCTAGAAACAGACTCACAGATTTATCATCTTCCATGCTAAACAGCAGGGAAACTTTCTTCTACCAGTTAACGAGTACTGCCTTCAAGATTCTAAACTATTCCATTTCTTTCTTAGTTTTCTTTTTTTTTTTTTTAACTCTAGTTTATAAAAGCTGTTTCTTTTGGAGAGTCTCCCCATCTTTATGCTTTGCTGCAGTTTATTTCCTAATTTGAGTCCTAAAAATCCCTTCCTTTGCTTATCAGGCAGTTTGGAACTTAACCATTGACTTATTTTATTGTTTCCAAGGAAATAACTTTGCAGCAGATCATGGCACATTTGGACTCCATTCGAAAAGATATGGTCATCCTGGAAAAAAGTGAATTTGCAAACTTGAGAGCAGAAAATGAGGTACTAACAAATACTTTTAATTAAGCCATCAGTACCCTAAAATATACCAGGATTTCCTCAGTGTACATTTTTGGTGGTACAGAATATTTGATGTCATCTTCTGTATTACTCAAGGGTGATTCTTGTAGTCTTGTTGCCATTAACCATTCAATCCAGGGAGAGCAGTCAGGCCTTTCTGTTAATTAAACTGGTGATTAAGATATGTTTTAGTTTTGCTGTACAGCATTTTGGTGTTTTTCTCCTGTCTTTAGTCTCAGAATAATCACTGTAAGTTTTATACAAAACAATGATTTTGAGCAAAATTCTGAGCAGATTATATTTGGCTGTTTAAATAGAGCACACTAGTTAAGGTGTTTAGTTGGGAACACATTGCTCTGCTGGGAGAAAACTACAGAACAGTAATCACAGAAATGCAATAGTAACACTTACAGAGCTGATTTGTTTGGTCAGCTCTTTCTTGAAGTTATAAAATCTCTTTTTCTTCTCTGTTCCTAGAAAATGAAAATTGAACTAGATCAAGTTAAACAGCAGTTAATGGTAAGTAAACAACAAGTAGGTATACACTCATCCCTGGGGAAAAATATAGTTATTTTCATGATCTTTATTTGCTTTAAAGAATGAAACCAGTAAAATCCAAGCTGACAGCAAGCTAGACATAAACCTAGAAAGAAGCAGAGTGACAGATATGGTAAGCTGACCTATGAAGATACTGTTATGATTTTGGTGTCATCTTCCTTTGCTACAGTTATGATTTATCTTTAATCTGTAGTTTACAGATCAAGAGAGGAAATTGATGGAAGCAACTACAGAGTTTCATAAAAAAGTAAGGATTGAGTTCACTTTATATTGAGCAGAATACAGTTATATTCTGAATGTCATGTAAACACAAAACTGTGAAAGTTAATAGCTGTCTGCCTGTGAGAGAACCCACTTGTGTTCTACATGTTTATGGGATTTGTGTGTGGGATTTGCACTAAACACCATCCAAGCAGATGACACACAAACCTCATCTCTCACTTCCAGAGTGCCTTTCTGCAGTCTGTTCTAGGTAAGCAACTGTAGCCAAGCAACAGTTTGGGGGGGCTGGGAGTCCTCAATGCCTCCTTGAAGGCACTGCAGCCTGATGCTGCTGAGGGACATTGCCCATTTTCAGCATCAGCTTCCTCTTCTTGGATAAAGCTGGTGATTTCTTAGACCTTTGTTTGGCAAAAATTTAGGGATGCTATGAAGACATTGTAGAATGTCCTCCTTAGGAGGCACGTGGCATATCGCAGATAAAATTCAGATCATACCTATTTTTCTGTTTTTCTGTCTTCATCTTTAATATACTTGTCTATGGTATTAAGTGTTGCTCTGTGACTTCTGAAATCATTTAGTAATTACATATCTTCACCAGTATGTTGGAAATTTCTCTTTGTTATTGCTCACAGCATGATATTCCTGTTTGGTTTTGCAAACTGGACAGAGCTTGAAAACATTGTCAAATTATATGCCTTCTTTTAATGTTTCAGGATTCGAATACCAACAGCATTATTTCAGAGATCAGTAATAAAATTGATACTGAAATAGCTTCCTTAAAAACTCTCATGGAATCAAATAAACTGGATACGATACGTTACTTGGCAGGTATGTGATGTGAGTACTGGGGGCTTAATCTGGACATGTGAAGTTCAAGAGTTATTCAACATTATGTGCAAAATGAATTCAAAATTTCAGCAGAGCAGCAGCAGATAACTGGAATTGGGTGTCACGTCTGATGTGTTAGCTTGTCATTTTGTTCAGTGGAAATCCTGTTTAATTACATTTAATCAAGACCCAATACAGCCATCTCTCCTGTAATACCATTTTTGATAGATGGGCAAGAGCAGTAAAAATTACTGCAGTCTGTTGTGCTCTGTTTTATCCAATTCAGTTCTTCAGAAGTATTTCTGATAAGATGGTTCTGCAGGCTGCTGAATTTGACCTCCCACCTTGTTGTGTAGGCAGTGCTAACTGTGGAGGATACCACATCTGAAACAAGTCATGGTTACCCATTCTGTTTGCAGTTAATTTCCTATATGCAGAACATGATACAATTTAACATTCATCTAATTACTGCTACTTTTGTTCTTTTAACAGCTTCGGTTTTCACTTGCTTAGCAATAGCACTGGGATTTTACAGGTTCTGGAAATAGTTCTAAACTGAATGACCTCGTTAAATACAGGTGGAGAAAAGTTCAGCCAGACTGCATCTGCCAAACCATCACATCTGTGCTGTAGATCACTGTGCTACCTCCAGTTTTGATATTCTTGTTCTGATTATTGTGAACAGTGTTTTCTGACTGTGTAACACTAACAACTGAAATAATATGAGGGAGAAGTTGGCAAATAATAGTAATATTTCATTCTCTCCTATTGAATAGTGTATATATTTCAAAAGACTTTGTATATTAAATCAGAAACTGTTTCCTAATGGGCTTCAGAATCAAGTTGTTGTCTTCTAGAACATTGCCAGTACTCTCATCTCTTCTCCAAATGGAAATACTGAACATTCAGCATGCCTGTGGAAATACTGGACTTCTGTTTCCAAATTAGTATTACCAATATGGGAGAATTGCAGCAGATTCCAAGAGATGTACTGTGATCCAGGCAGTGACCTTACATGTAGGAGCTGGGTGTTTGTTCCTCCCTTTTTGATGGGTTTGAAGCCTGGTTCTTTGGTTATATGTTTTCATAAATATGTATGAAAACATCAACGTATGTATATAAAATATACACTCCAAGGCCTTTTTTAAAGAATCCTTGTTTTTCTTGAAAAATGGTTTACATAAATTTAAAATTTTGTGTAGAACTAAAATGTTTCTACAGATTTATTTAATATCCCTTAAAATTTTTGTAAGCCTGGTCAGCAGAGGTCAACAGAAAGGGAGAACTTCATTTCTCCAAGGGGAAGTGCTGTTGTTCTCACTGACTGCAGACAACCCTGGGACAGATAAGTGCTCTTAACTCCTCCCTTCAAGCAGTGCTGAGTATTCTCAATAAACCTTTGTGTATTTTCTGGGTGTGGGATCTTGTGCCACAGAAGTGCTCCTTGAGAGCTGTGGGACTCTCAGCTTTAGGTGACGAGCTGTCTGCCTACAGCAAGGACTTCTCAGTGTAGTTGCAGAGATGTGATGGGTGGATGCTTTCCAAAACTGAAGCAGTCACATTAGGTACAAATGCCTATGCTTTTAATTTGATTCCTTTTATTTAAAAAAAATCTTCCTGGTTAAAGCTTTGTTCAGAATAAGCACTTTGTGGGCTACAGAGTTTATAGTTCTGGATAGTGGCAGGTTTTCAATTGCAGTTCTATTCTGTTTTCAGTTGAACTTGCTGGTATCCTGCAAATTCTTGTATTCTGTGCATGAAATTATGTATTTAATGTGTACATTTAAGAAAATAAAATGGATTTCTTACATTTGCTATCTGTGAGACTTGAATACAGATGACAGGATTGTACAAGCATGGCTTTTATAATGAGCACCGCGCTGTTAGTGAGCTGAAGCTGCTTTTTCTGTTATGGATGTGTTGGTGGAATAGGGGTGGGGGTGCCAGCACAAGGACCTGAGGCAACTCCTTGGTCCATGTGATTGCTGCAGGGTCACACATCCATCCTCATACACACTGTAACCATTTCTGGAGTTCTGTGCAAGACATGGGCTGATCTTTGGCACCATTCCTACATTGGAACAGCACCAAGAGTGAGGGACCAAATCTCATTCATGGCAGCTCTACATCACCCTCACACACTTTGAAGTCTATGATCCAGATTCTGGATTTCTCCTTATCTGGCACAGGCTTATGCTATTGCTTAGGATGTCTCCCATCTACTGCATATGAACGCAAAAACAGAGTTTTTCACTAACTTTGAAACAGCACAATTAAGTTTCTCTGAATAGCAAAGGAAAGGACAAATCAGGATTCAAGCACCAGGAAATTAACCTTTATAATACAAGGATTTTAATTGGAATCAAAACAGCCAAAGTATTATTCACGAGAGCCATTCTGTGGCCTGCACAGATTGGCTGGAGCTTATAAGTCAATAGCCTGACATCTAGCAGCTGTTCTGCAAGGACTTACCCCACATGCTGTTCTTTGTGTCTGTACCCTGCAGGTCCTGGCTGAAGTAAGGGGCTTTCTTCTTCTTCTTTTTTTTTTTTTTGCTTCAAGGCAGTAATACCAAGCAGACCAGGGGTGAGGATAGCTTTTTCGTAGGCTAGGGCCTATGACATCTCTGCAGTTGAATTTTGGAATGTTCCAATTTGCAAAGCTCTTGTTAAACTACCCTGGACATGAAGAGAAACCCTCTTTTTTTTTTTTTTTTTTCTTTTTTTCTTTCTTTTTGTTTATTTGTTTGTTTTTGTTTTCCCTGCTGCGGTGATTTAGAAATATTTTCTGTCCCAGAGAACTGGGAAAGCAGTTTGATGAACCACAGCTCATCTGCAGAATTGGGCTCTACAAATGCTTTGCACTGTGGATATTGCCATTCTGCACCCTCAGTCTGCCAGCCCTGTGTCTGAGGCTCCTTCCTCAGCGCAGCCTCACAAACACTCCTCCGTGGCTGTAGGGATTCTTCTTCACTTTCTTTTTCTCTTTGCAGGGAGTGGAGATGGGTTCAGGTTCCTGAAACAAAGGACATCATTACAGCTATTAAGCAGCAATCACTTAAATCTGCTGCACCATAAGACAGGCTTTAAAAATATGATGATGTGGCTAGGAAAGGTCTGAGATGCCAGCTCTCCTTGTCTCCAAACTTAGCATGTGAACTTCTAATCTACTGTCAGATTTGATTAAATATGTGTATGTGTTTTCTGTTTTCTAAGTCAATCTATCTGCACCTGCTTTGCTGTCAGTGGGCTTGATAATTAAAATGACACGAGACCAATTGTTGAATTCATCCATTGCACATAGCAACGCTGTATTACATGCCTCCACCAACTCTATTTCAAGTCTGAGGTAAAACGGGGGAAAATAAACCCATTCTGAAGGAGAGTTCTGATGCAAAAGAGAGATCCTGCAACATGAGTGGTAGCTGCTACGAGCTATGCCAGCTGGGGAATGAGTGGACAGCTCCTGAAGTCCCCAATCCAGTCTGAACTGGGCACCAGCTACTCGGCAAGGTGAACAGCCAGTCACCATGGAAGCATTCAAGGACCATTCCGCTCCCTTTTCTAAATACGGAGAATTCATATTCTCTGCCAGGGACAAAGAGAAACTGATAACCTCTCAGGTCAGGATGTAGCAAAGGCTGCTGCTCACTTGACTGTGCCAAGCTGAAAGCTGCTAACGTACTCACTCAAGTATCACCTCACAATCTTAGCGAGGACACCCAAGCAGCAGGGCTGCCTCCGTCCCACTAACCAGAGGCAGAGCAGCAGGGCTGCGGGTTCTCCCCCGGCTCTCCCTGAGGCGGCCGATCTCGGCGCGGCAGCCATCCAGCTGGCTCTCCAGCTTTTCCCTCCTGACTCGCTCAGACTCCAGCTGCGCTTCCAGCTCCCTCACGGCCCTGCCAAAAGCAAAGGAAACAAACAGCATCGAGCACAGCCAGTCATGACCAGGCCGCTCCACGCGTGTTTTAAGGAACAGAGAGCTGAAAACAACGCAAATGTAGCATACTCCTAACTCGGGCCCATTTGTAAAAACTCCAGCGTCGGCTGCTTTGCCTACCATACAGCCAGCTGTGCTCGGCGCTTCTGACCGCGAGGTGGAGACGTCTCCCCGCACAGTGAGCCAGCGCCGGGCGGGACGAAACCCAGCTCGGCTCCCAGCAGCAACTGGCTCCTCTGCACACTTCCTAAAGTGATTGGGTAAGCACACGTGAGGAAGACCAAATGACAGCCTGCATGATACATACTAAAAGGAAGCTGAAGCATTGGTTGACCCAGTTGCACAGGTTCTCATCAGTCACAGTCACAATGGCTATTAAATTAACTGAAATTCCCGGAACTGGTTAGCTGAGAGTTAATTCTGATCTATCCCTATGTAACAGCAACTGAGTCATCTGGAAATGAGCTGGCTCTCCTCTGTGCTACAGCAAATTAGCAAAGCTATAAAGGGAGGAGAATTTTCAAAACCTGCTAGAAATCCTTCCCATGTGGCAATTCCTGCTGGTCATCAAGTGCAATGTTAGGGACAATAAACATGTTAAAATAATGGGACTTTCCAGCATACAATGTAAAAATCTTGGAGTTTACACACAGGTCTCTGTAGGTACCCTGAGAAGCACTACTTCAGTTTCAGAAGGTCACTGTGGATCTAGGGATGCTCTCTGGCCTCCATTAATGGCACACCATTTGTGACCTTGCTTTGAGGTGGCCCCACCATGTAATGGACATGCTCATCTACAGTGACTGAGAACAGTGCATAGCCAAATGTTTGACAGGCAGAGGTAGAGTCAGGGATGTCTTCTTGTGCAGGCTGTCATCCTGTACAAGCACAAGAAGTATGGAGCTATCAATCATTTGCATGTTGTACTGCAAGGTTGATCCTCATGGCAGGGGTCCACAAATGGCCAAATGGCTGAAGTCCTTTTCTTTTTAGCCTGGCTAAATTCACTAAGTGGAAAAGACAGAATGGCCAAAGCAATCTGAGTGTAAATTAGCCTTATAGAAGGCTTTAAAATGGGACACATTATAAAGTTGACCTTACTTCTCAACTTCCTTTTCATCTTTTTTCATCTTCCTCTCCTCCTCAGTTATTCCTCCCAGCTGTCTATAATTGCTGTAGGCAATCTCCAGAAGTCGCTGGAGTTCTTGAATCCTGCGATAGGCCCTTACTGTAAGACAGGGTTCACCAGGTAAGTAAAATGCATGGAAACAGCTGAAGACATCCATGCTGAAGTCCAGCAGTATGGGAGACAGCATCACACACACAGAGCAGTAACTACACTGCTTAGCAGACACTGAGATACACCTGGTACAGAGATACTGCAGATAGACCCACACAGCACACTGCTCTCAGAAACAAAGAGCATTCCAATGTGGTTTCACTGCAGAGATTGTAACAGTGTAACAGTTCTGTTCTGACTGTCCTGTGCCATCCTTCCTAACCTTCCACAACAAGGCGAGTACTCAGTGTTACAGATATCCTAACAACAAACTCATCCTACAACAGAAAACAAATGTAGCAGTTGGCAGAAACCGTGCAACTAGAAATCCAACACTTTTAGACTGTTCAAATAAAGAGTGAAGTAAGACAATGCTTACTGCGCGCGTTCCTTTTCTCTGCTTTATCCAGGATTAAGTCTTCTTTGCTGTCTGTACTCCCTTCCACACCATGTCTTTCAAAAAATTTTATGTTGCTTGCATCCAGTTCTTCATCACTAGAGCTACTGTCTCCAGTTCTTTGGGTCAAAAGTTCCACAGCTGCTAGCTGGGCAAATCTGTACAGAGAACAGTTAACCTACACTGATATAATCCTGCAATCTAGAAACACACAGCCATGTCTTCCACATGAGATAGAAACTCTGAGACACATCCTGTTCCCATTTAGAGGACAATTTCAGGATTTGAGGAAGCACTGGTACACAAACTATGAGCAGCAATCTCCTTTCCACAGTACTCTGCCTCAGTGAAATCTTATTACGACAACTCCCACTTCAGAAATACATTTTTTGCTTCGTAGGATTTCTTAACTGAATCTCATCAGCAACTACATTATTTTTATTAAATCAAAAATCAACCAGCCTTCTCTAGCTCCCATTTACTTTGTACAGCTGAAGCACACAGGCTCACGAATTTCCTTTTGCAGATCCGTTAGTTTTCATCTTTTATACCTGACCTTGTTCCAAAAAAAGAAAAGAAAAGAAAAGGAATTTACAATCCTTTACAGCTACAATGTGGCTTTGCTTATCACTCAGAGCTGTAATTCAAGGGCTTGATTAGTTCTTGCTTCATCACCAAAAATCAAGAGTAATTACAACAAAGCTGACTAGATATTTAAATAGTAAAATAAATGTTAAAAAAAGACAGAACTACATGGCATGCAGTGCTACCTCTTGGCTACATCCTTTGGAGTCTCTCCAGCATCATCTGTAATGTCACAGTCAGCTCCCATTTCAATCAACCACTGTAAGCAATGGATGTGCCCTTGTCCTGCAGCTGGGGGAAGGAAGGTGCATGCAAGTCAGCCATCTACAAATGCAGCATTTTAAACTTCCTACATCCCCCTTCTGCTATGGTTTAACATGCAAGATGTTGGGTTCACCAAGACCACAAAGGAGAGATACTACTTCAGAGAAGGATATATTTCAAGATGCTCAAGTCATTTGGGTACACCCAATTTTAGAGAAGATCATGTAGCGCGGGTTTGTGGCTTTTTCTGGTCCCTGAAATGTATGTGCAACTCCTTCTGTACATGAGCTGAACTAAATGTTCTCAGTCCCAGGCATCAGCAGGGCTACTGCCCACACTGCATGGCCCCCAGTAATGATGTCTCACATATGGAAGATGCTCCTTGGCACTGCTGGCTGAAACTTGCAAGCCTTTTTCTTAAGTAAATCTGACTCTGACAGCACCCCATTTGGAAATGTGTCAGACTGAAATAAGGAAATGTACTGACAATCAGCCCAAAATTTCCCCATAACAGAAACACTGGAGGTAAAGACTGGGGATGAAACAATAGTTGGCTAGGAACTATCCAAGAAAAGGTAACGGGAAGAAATGTGAAGGAATGTAAAGTTGTTCTCTATGTGTTTTTAAAAATTCTGCCTTTTTTCTCTAAGCAAAAAGAACTGTGGGAAATAGTGTTAAAAGTGTATTACAAGAATATCTCCCCCTATCTTTTCTTTGCCATTTCTTCTCTCAAACACTACTAAGAAACCCTCAAGCATAAGAGGACTGATGTCCCGTAATGCTAGCACTCTATTACAAATCAAGGTGTTAGATACCAGGAATCCTGCTGCCTGCAGAGTGGGCTACCAAATTACTTTGTTGTGGTTTTCATAACACATCATCACAGTACCAATATGTTCAGTAAATAAAGGCTCAAACCACAATGCAGATCACTGCCATGTCTAGCAAATCCACATCTCTGGAAGTAACGTCCCACACAACAAAAAAAAAAATCAATGTGGATGTTGTTTTCTTTTTAAAACAAACTGTTCTATCTAGACTTCAGCTTGGTTATTTTGTTTTTAAAGTGACCCCCTACACATGCATACAGCATAAAATATTTTTCAACGTTGCTCCTTTGAGCCCTCAGGAAATGAGATTTTCATTAAGTTTATCTAATGAGCAGCCATTTGAAAATATCAGTAAAGAAGCCAGGAATAAACAGGAAAAAGCTCAAACATTGATCATAATTACTGACCTTTGTGCATGAGAGTGGATCCCTTATCATCCCGCTCATTAATATTGATTACTCCACATCTCACTAATCTTCTGAGTACTAACAAGTCCCCTCTGAAAGCAGCATCATGGGCTGGGAAAGCTAAAACTGAAAATGAAATACACATTTCTGAACAGATGCCAGTAATTCCACTAAACGTGCTCATATTTGTCTCAAACAACTCACCTCTATGATAACAACTCACTCACAGACATTCCATAGCTGTATCTAGCAAGGTTAATGCACCTTTAATTAGCTAAAATGCAGCTGCATATCTAGGATTGTTCATCACAGACTTGACTAAACCTCTCTTGGTCATGGCTACGGGCATCTTATAGTTAAGTGATTAATTTCATAAGTCTGAAATAACAAGTATACCTTTGTTTTACAGTTAATGTTCTATTACTAGTGGTAATAGTAGTCATCTGCCTACCCAGATTTCCATAGTCTAACCAAATGTATAAACTATATTACTTCTCCCCCTCTACTCAGCTCTTGTGAGGCCCCATCTGCAGCACTGCATCCAGGCCTGGGGCCCCCAGTACAGCAAGGACATGGAGCTCTTGGAACGGCTCCAGAGGAGGGCACTAAGATGATCAGAGGGCTGGAGCACCTCTCCTATAAGGAAAGGTTGAGGGAACTGGGATTGTTTAGCTTGGAGAAGAGAAGGCTCCGGGGAGACCTCACTGTGGCTTTCCAGTACTTGAAAGGAGCTTATACACAAGAGGAAGAATGACTGTTTACAATGGTAGGTAGTGATAGGACAAGAGGGAATGGTTTTAAACCAAGTCAGGGGAGGTTTAGGTTAGATATTAGGAGGAAGTTTTTAACTCAGAGGGTGGTGATGCACTGGAACAGGTTGCCCAAGGAGGCTGTAGATGCCCCATCCCTGGAGGCGTTCAAGGCCAGGCTGGATGTGGCTGTGGGCAGCCTGGTCTGCTGGTTGGCAACCCTGCACATAGCAGGGGGTTGAAACTGGATGATCACTGTGGTCCTTTTCAACCCAAGCCATTCTATGATTCTAGCTTAAAAACTATTCATGCAGGCCATTTGATTTTTCTGGTTATTTTTTTTATAGGTGGAGAGCATTAGTATTTATATCTGTAAGCACCATGACAAAAGACCAGCAGACAGGGAAAGTGTGTGCCTGGGAATACTAGAGAAATGAAGGTGCAGTGCTCATATCCTTGCTCTGTTGAATGTCCTCCTTAGAAACCTTGCTACCCTTGTGTCCTTTGCTGTGCTGACTGCAGTAGTATTCCTGGTTAGCAAGTAACCTTAGTTTCAGTGGGATCTTTCCAGGTTAAGCAGTTATTCAGGATCTTGAGCAGGCAAATCTGCAAACTCAGCGATTCTGGATCTCTGCTGGAGTCTAGGCAGAGCATGGGCAACTTGGTATTCATAGTGCAACACAATGTGAAAAGCCTTATTACTGAAAATAATATTTATAAAGTCGTGCTGAGTATCCCAGTCTAGATATCAGTAGGTGCCACAAATATCCTAAGCAACAGTTGTACCTTACAATGGCAATACAAGGATCATAGTTCTGCTCATACAGATTTCAGAATCCAGTGCTTCATAGAATTACTATGTCTGTTTTAACAGTACAAATTGTAATCAACTTTTAACATTTCATCCCTACTCACCTTCCTGTGTCTCTGGATGCTCCCCCTCTTTTTCCACACTGTCAATATATTGCAGAATATTGTCTTTATAGAACCGCTCAGCCAAGTCCCTTGGAGTCTCTCCATGGTCATTCCTGGCTTTCAGCGCGCACACGACACTGGCCATTTTACTGACCAGGAACTTAAAGCAATGCAGATGTCCTTCCACTGCTGCCAAATGAGCTACAGCACAAGGGGAAACCAAATATGTTAGAGCAGGGCATTGCTGACAATCAGGAAGGCAGTGTTTCCACTACCAATTACATCTAGCTCCTCTACCAGCACTTGAGACATCCAAACCTGCATAGGAGGGAGCAGGCAGCTGCACAGGGAATGCTCAGCTCCTATCCAGGACAGAGTCCAGCTATAGGCAAAGGAGGTAAAAGAAAGCTGTTAAGGACAGGATCTGCAAAGAAAATGCCCTGGCAGAACTGACTGCAGCCAACACAGCATGACACTGCCAAAAGACCCCAGAGCAACAACTAGGGGTGTACTGGTTCCCTCCTGTTCCCCATGGAATGTTCACTCCTTAGCAGCTGTGATCTAGCCTCACTCTCCTAGATAAAACTACAGAGGGCCTGCAAGGGGAGGCTTTGGTTAGGAGTTAGGGCACCTGTTTCAGTCCCAGATCCACTGCACCACCCCCAACAGGCTGCATTACACCTCTGCAGTTCCATTACTTCACCTGTAAAATGACAGTGACATTCATTTTACTGGATAGAGGTTTGGAGGTACATCCCCTGATATTCCCATTAATACACAGATGTATTCACTGTGCTTCTATGACATTTTTTAATGTTTACAGTTGTGGAGAGTTGTGTGGGCAGGAGCTGCTCTGACCCAGCACAGCAGTGACTGCTTCCCTGCAGAGCAGAAGTGCTTCCTCCCCTGCCCTTTAGGCTACACTAAACTTTAGTTTTTCAACACCAGCAGAGTGCTGGGCCTGTAACAAAGTAAGAGGTACAAAATACATGTCCGTTATTATGAAATAGTCTCTAGTCCATTAATGGGAAGAAGTAGAAAAATGCAAGTAAGATTGCCTTTATTATGCAACATATTATCACTCCATGTATTAATTCAATGTGGATTATCACTCCTCATATTAATTCAGTATGCATTATCACTCCATCAAAATGCTCTGGCTGACATTCTGCAAGAAAAAGGGTTCCATGTTTGTGATTAACTTCATAGCTGCTAAACAATGTATCCAGGACAAAAAAAATAAAAATCACTTAAGTCACTTAAGCTAACTTCTGGCACACTGGAGATCTCTATTGCAAACCATTCTCATAGTCAGTGAGTTAGGAAGAAGTGAAATGAATAGACACATTCCAGAAGTTGAGTACTGATAACTGGTCAGCTGGTGAAAAACAGTCTCAATCCATATGAATACACTTTCAAATAACTAACAATCTCAGGGATAAAACTTCACCTTTTGAGATAATGCGTTATGAAGTGCCTGTCCTATGCAGAAAGCAGTCAGAGAAGCTCAAGGTTTTCTGCAAAAACAGCAAAGGAAAAAGACACTGCAGAGCTCTATTCTGCCTGTGTCTTTTTGCAGATTTGCAGTGATACTCTGTGGAAGACAAAAAGGAAATTTTCATATGCTTTTAACATGTGCTTCTTAGCAGCCAGTTCCCAACATGGAACAGTGCCAGACAAGCTCATGCTGAGTACTTGTTCTTGAAACCAAAGCCAAAGAGTTTTGTGATGTTAACATAAAATATGTTGCTTAGTACTGAGAACTTTGAAAATCTTTATCTTGGGCATCACGGTTGGTGTTGGGATCCCAACTTCTCCATCTTTCACCTCACCTCCCATAAAATTGTGCTAAAGTTATTCACTGCTATCTAAATAGAGAGTGAAAGAACCATGTATGTGAAAAATTCAGGTGTTGCACTACAATTAAATTAATACTATATTTAGAACAGGCTTAACTAGTAAGACATAAGTGAAGCATGGCTAAAAAAAGAGAATATAGAAAGAAAACCAAATGTTGAAATAATAAACACAGCCCACTTACGGCACTGAATGAGCCACAGTTCCTCCAAAACAAATTAACATACTGTAGGTAATTAAAGCCTCTGCCATAACAAACATACAAAAGGTGCAGTCTTACAATTCTTAAGTTTTAGGAGCATGGATTTGCAATCTCAGTAAATTCCTGTCAGTACTTTCAGGTTAAATTATAGCACTGGCCAGCTAATCTTGAAGCTGAATTATAGAAAGATGAATTAAATTGACACTGGTATGTAAAGCACAGCACTTCTGTTAATTTTTTACTAGCAGTGTTACAAAGCATTTTCTTTCTTCTAGATGATAACAGATGCAAATGAAACATAACAAAGACTGAACAAAGCAGCTTCAGAAGAAAAACAATTCTTGACCAAGGAGTACACACAGGGCATTTCAGTGGAACTGTGCTGGTATTCACCATCTCTCCATAAAAATAAGTGTTCCCAAATGCAAACAGAGCTACCTTCTGTGTTGTCACCAGAGTGCCTAACATCACAATCCTTTATTGCCTGAGCCACTAAACCAGATGTCCTTCTGGGATGTAAGAGCCTCATGCCTTTTAACAAAGCCTGGGTTTGCAGAACAGAACACAGACTTCAGTTTTCTGGATAAATGGTGCTCAGCAGAGGATAAAACAATTTTAAATGGATTTTAAAAGATAAATCTAAACCTCTAAACTAGTTATAAAGGGATGAAAATATACTATTTGGAACAAATAATATGACAGACCATAAGAAGGCAAAGGTTAAAGGGGAAATGATGTAACAAGAACAAAGGGTTGAATGACAACATTCAAATTACAGAGTAATTTGAGGCAGTAGTGTGATAAGCAAAGGGATGGTGGAAAAACTATGAAGAAACAGTGTTCATTTTTCATGCTAAAGTGGCTACACATAGGATTTTGAAGAGAGTACAGGCTACAGATAATACAGAAATACTGGTATGTCATAAATCAAAATGGAGAAATCAGAGGTAAATGAGAACAAGGGTTTTACCAATCCAGTTAAGAAATAGTTGGATGCAAAAGCTTGCATATGAACATGCCAGAATCTGATCACACAGGCACACCTGTTCAAGCTTGGTATACATTCAAAAAGGAGCAGATAGCAGCAGGGCCTGCCTGCTGCCCCACCTGCCCTTCTCCTTCTGTGATCTCTATAGGCATAGGCACAGAGGTTGCCCACCTACACAGCACTCAGGCTGAGCCTGCTCCTGATGTGAGCCTTGCCAGCAGCAACAGGAGCTGAACAGGATACTGCTGCCAACCAATAAGTGCTTTGGATTTATATATTCCCCCATCATTATAAAAATGGAATAATCAGGTTGATAACATGGAACAAATCACACAGTCATCAGTTGGTTTGATTTGGAAGGGACTTTAGAGACCAGCCATGGACGGGGAGGCAGGGACACTTCCCACTAGACCAGGCTGCCCAAAGTGACATCCAACCTGGCCTTGAACACCTCCAGAGACATGGAATAACTTGGGACCTCAAAGATCATCCAGTTCCACCCCCCTGCCTTGGGTTGGTTGCCCCTCACCAGTTCAGGCTGCCCAGGGCCCATCCAAGCTGGCCTTGAGCACCTCTACGGATGGGGCACCACAGCTCTCTGGGCAGCAGTGCCAGGGCCTCGCTGCCCTCTGAGTAAAGAATTTCCTCCTAACATCTTATCTCCCCTTTTAGTTTTAAATGACTCCCTTTTGTCCTACCAAGTCATTATCTATTGTCTTATCAATGCTCCTGGTGTGTTTTATTTATGATGTGCTAGAGTTATCACATATACAACAAGGGCTGAAAAAACAAATGATTATTCCTGACATACCTGGAAGGTTTCCATCAGTATCCACATCATCTACGCATGCTCCCCATCTAACAAGAAGCTGCAAACAGCCCAAGCGACCATGAAAAGCAGCATAATGAACAGGCTTCCAGTCATTTTTGTCTGCAACGTCTGCATTCTAAAATGAAAGCACCAGGTTAATTTGTTTATGAAGCTTAAACACAAGACATTTTTTAAATAAGAATCAACAGTTCATTGTGCTACATTATTTAAACAAAATGAAATCTTTTTCCAAATTCAAGCCATGAAAGTAGCATAAGAGGTATTTCTCACAGGTTCTTGGCTTTATTGGAATAAAACAGACACAAAAGGTGTGTTTTCAGTCATACTTCTATCACCATGTTAGTCATTATTCTTAAATATACAACTGGATTTTTTTAACATCTATTACTGTAGAAGATTTGTACAACTGGAAAAAAATCACAGCCACCTGATCTTCTTTTAATGATTTCCCTGTTCAAATGCTGTTCCAAGTTACTGATTCTCTCTAGATTTTTGGATCTAGAGACCTAACATCTCTTACAATTAAAAAATGGAAATTTACACTACAAATAAAATCCCAACAAGAATATACCAACAGAGATCAATCCATGGTCCCAAACTTCAGTTAGTGAGTGCTTGGTATGGAAAAAGATAGCAGACTCTGGCTCTGCACTAGGGAACAGCAGGTAGAAGTCTCTCACCGCTCCACTTCGCAGCATGGTTTGCAATGTGTACGACTGCCCATGGGCTGCAGCCAGGTGTGATGGAGTGCACCCACGGTCATCTCGAGCTTCTAGGTTTGCTCCATTTATTAACAAAGCCTACAAGAAATGCAAAGTCTGAACTCAGTTCACAGGCTAAAAGAGCAAACACTGCCTGGCAGGATGACTTGAGATGATCAGCTTGGTACCTCTGGGATCATCACACAAAATAAATGTAAGCACAGAGGGAACAAACAAGTGCACTCATTTTACCAGTGACTTGGTTTCAGCTGTAAAGACACAGAGATGAGATCCAGCTCCAGTAGGAGCACTTTCAGATGATTTTCATAAAGAAGTGTCCAAATCAAAGGCCTGCCTTCCTTTTGCTGGACAGTGAATATCCCTACTTACCTGCATGCAAGCATCCTGCCCGCGGATCGCCGCAAGGTGAGCTGCTGTCCAGCCTCTGACTGTCACACATGTCACATCAGCACCATGCCAGAGCAACCAGTGAAGGCACTGCTCAACCAAAAACAAGCTTGTTTTATTTAATAAGCTCTTCTTTAACAATTCTTATAACTTATCTGGAGCAAATGTTAACTATAAATTAACAGTAGATGTTACATTTCAAACAGCTTTAGCTACGAGAAGCCTAGAAACGAGATAGTTTCAAGGCTTCATCTAAGGGTACAGAAAGCACAACCAACCTTCTAATTGCAATGATTTTACAACGTGGCTTCTTGATTTTTCTATTCCAGATTTAAAATGCAGCCTGCGAGAGCATTCATGTGACATGAGGTAAAAACATTAGGAAAAATGATGCAAACATGCTCACTTGAAGTCCAGCTAAAATGAACAGTAGGAAAAATGCCATGAATCAAATATAAAGCCTCAATTCAGTTATTAGGCTTCTTGGGTATACGAAATCCCATCTCTCCTCTCACCTACCACACATTATTTTAGCTTTATTCACCTTTTTCAGCAGGTGCTATTGCTTTCCATGGAAAGCTTAAAGAATTATTAAAACGATAATAAACTACAAAATTAGTTAAAGCTTTTTGTTATACATCATTATTATTTCCTGTCTTCTTTTAGGCTAGGCCCTACTTCCTGCCCTGTTTCCACCAAGGAGCTTAGTAACAAAAAAGTGACAGATAATTCAATAAACCCAAATACACTGATTGCAAAGTAGGAGACTTAAATGAAAATTTAAGGTAGAAATGGTATATGGTAGAATTGGTAGAATTTATAGAGGCAGATAAGGGTGGGCAAGCAATCAATTTTTAGGGTCAACAACAAAATCATCAGCATTTTCTTGACAGTTTCTGTACCTTACAGTAACAGCACTGCACTTATTGCTCTCAAATTTAGAGAAAATTTTACATTCTTTCCTTTGGGACTTCATTCTCTACATGGTTATTTACAGCCTTGCTGTTTCAAAGTAAGATCGCTATAAACATTGCACAAGGAGGCTGTAACAAGAAGGTGAATGCTGTGCTGAATGCAGCTCAGTCCTTCTGGAAATCAAATCATTTGTGCAGCAAGTACCTGCTTGCAATTTCTGCATTGGTAGTCAGATTGTTCTTGCTTATTAAAATGAACTGTATTTGAGGTATTTCTGTAGGGAATGAGGCATGAGACAGAACACTGGTAGCTGAACAAATATTTCTGTGTCACTTCTCACTTGGTTAAGTCACTTTCAAAACATTATACACATCTTTATGGATTTTCCAATGCTCTGAGTGAATGGGAAAACATAAGAGGGATAAAAGAAGGTAATGAGGCTAGAAGGGAAGCCATAAGGCACACCTTGCTTGGAGTAAGAAAAACTCTGATTTCGTAAAATCTGAGGACGTTGATTACATAAACTGCCTGGGGCTTCAGAAAGGCAAAATGAAGTCCTAAAAAACTGCACTTCTTTCCTTAGTGAATACATTTAATCAGAAACAAAACAAAACAAAACAAAACAAAAAACAGGCAGAGATTATAGATCTAACTTTATCAAAGCTAGCACTGTTGTGTACAGCCTCCCCCCAAAGAGGAAAACATTAACCCATAAAATCTTGCTGTTCGAACACTAACTTAGACAGGAGGGGGAACGGCTGTTAACAAGGGTGGATAGTGACAGGACAAGGGGGAATGGTTTTAAACTGAGACAGGGGAGATTTAGGTTGGATACTGGGGGGAAGTTTTTCACTCAGAGGGTGGTTTCACTCAACTGGAACAGGTTGCCCAAGGAGGCTGTGGATGCCCCATCCTTGGAGGCATTCAAGGCCAGGCTGGATGTGACTCTGGGCAGCCTGGTCTGCTGGTTGGTGACTCTGCACACAGCAGGGGGTTGAAACTGGATGATCATTGTGGGCCTTTTCAACCCAGGCCATTCTATGATTCTAAGATTTTACCTCCAAGCTTCCAGAGTGTGCAGCACAGTGCAACGGTGTGAACTTGTGGACTAAATCCACCTCGTCAATAGAGGCTCCGCGTTTTACCATTAATGCAAGCCGTTCTACATCACCAGCTTTCACTGCCTCGTGTACACTGGTGTAAGTTTGCTTCTTCCTCACATCTAGGGAAGAATAATAATAGCATTAGCCAGTTCAGTCACATTTTACAGAGATGAAAGAAGCGATGAATCAAAGAACAGTTTATAAGAATCAGCCAAAAGTGTAACCTATGAGAGTGTAACGTATCAGCGGGGGTCCTTACCCACTTGTGATTCCCAGAAGCAAAGCAATATTCAAAAACCTGAAAGAGCCATGCCCCCTCCAGCCCCAGGAAAAGGACAGGACAGCAAAGCAACTCCATCTATGCATGCAAATGCTGGATCAAGCTCACCCCCAACGCTGGCTCACTTCCAAAGCTGTGGGCATCACAAACTCTTTCATCAATCACGCTTTCAGGTGCTCAGCCACTGATCCTCAGGGATCCACATGGCCATGCTCCTTGCTGCCACCCAAGGACGTGGCACACCAAGGCATGCTGTGCTGGGGGCACCGGGCCAGAGCACTGCTCTGGCACAGGTTACTTTGCTAGAAGGCCAGTATTTTACTCCCATCAAAGTCAATAACGTTTTCATGGATTTCAGTGGCTCAGAATCAAACTCTAAACATAGCTGCAACGTGGTCCAAAAAAACCCATCACCAGGACATGGGATCAAATAGTCTGTGTTTTCCTTCAGGCCTTGTTACTGTTTGACAGTGTAACTGTAAACAATGGGAATTAGTTATCTAAATCCTCTTGCAACATTTTGGCATTTTGCCTACATTTGCCAACAAAAATAAGTGATGTAAGTAGATCTAATGGCTGAGATGGCTAACTTCAGATAGCTAAGCATATGAGTAACCCAAAACAAATAGTAATCACCTTCTGGAGTAGTCACCATTCTGGAACCAAAATGCACCAACAATCTTTGATTAAATTTCACGCTCTAAGAAGTCTTGAAGAAGCAGACTGCTGTTCTGCAAGTCAAGCATGCACATAAATGTTGGTCTTAAGGTATTAGTGCCTCGGTTTTCCTGCCCATGGAGAAGAAATTGAGGCAATAGTTTGAATTATTAAAAATGTGAGATCAAAAACGTTAAAGCATATCAATGAGTTGTTGCTCAAAGGTTCCTGGCATACATAAAAGCACTAAACATGACGAAAAGCAGCTGACACTATTTACCAGTACCTATTCCCATAAAATCTATAGCATGACAGTAGTGCTTGGCCAGATTCAGCATTACCACAGAGAGGAAAAGAGGGGCTTCAACTGTTTCAGTAAGCCAGGCTGAGTGTTGTAATGCACCCCTGGTGCATCATCACTTCACTCCCATTTCCTCTCCCCACCCCAAGCCACTCTGTACCACTGTCCTGCAGAAAGACAGTAAAATGCTGCATGACCCAGCACCAGCAGCAACTCAGAATAGCTCAGGTTGGAAGGGACCTCTGGGGGTCATCCAGTTCATGTTTCTAAATAAAACCTAAGTACATGCAGCGTTTTGGTGTTGTGTTTTTTAAACAGAGAATATCACTAGGACCTAATTTTCCCACAAGGAAGCAACTTCTCATGATGCCAGGTAAGGGTTACAGACTTCAGCGCAATGATGCAGACTTACATCAGAGGCAGACCTAGCTAACTACACTGCTTGCCAAAGCACTAATGCGCTTAACACCACGTTCCAGTGCTGTGGGTTCAAGGTAATATTTATTATTTCTTAATCCAGAAGAATCTTGCCCTCTTTCTACCTCTGGAAGAGGCAATGACCTATGCCTGTGTGTTATGGGTGCCAAGTTGCAGCCCCGTGGCTCAGGCACCACAAGCACGGCTGGGACTGAAGTTTAATGAACAGCTGTTAACACAAACCCTGTACAAAACACACTGCTTTTGAGAGAGAGTGATATTTTCCATAACTTCAGTGTGATCTGTTATCAAATGCTTGTTTCCTAGGAAAAAAATTACCCTGTAGAAAGAAGTAGGTAAGAGGGTAAGCATTACAATTGTACTTGACTAAAATTCACCCAAGAAATCACTCAGCCTGAGGGAAAGGGACAATGTTCCATAACACACAGAAATAAGCCAGTGCAGTGCTTCTTGGCAGCACTTGAAGGGGACGAGGCACAAAGCCACAAAGTGGGCAAAGACCGAGGTCCTGAGTTCTGTGTGGGGTTATGACCCCATCCCAGCAGTGTCCATGGGGGTTATGCCACCTTTCCGCGCGCGTTCGGCAAATATCAAATAGTTTGGGGTATTTTAGGTGGGCCCAATAACGAACAGACGGGTAAAACAACTGAGGAGGGCCGAACAGCGCGGGCACAGCCGCCCTGCGGGGCGCCCCCCTCACGGCCGAGGCGGGAACGGCGCCGCTGGGAGCACCGCTCCCGAGCGCGGGGCAGCGCGGCCCGGCCCTCAGGGGAGGACGCGGGGAGAAGGCCGCGGGCGGAGCGGTCTCACCGGCCGAAATAGGGCTGGCGCCGCGCTCTTCTCGTCTTCTTTCACTCCTTCCCCCACGCCGCGGCGGGTTGCTATGGGCGCGGCGCCCGCTGTCCTCGCGGGAGGAAAATGGCGGGCGGCGCTTGGCGGGAGTGGCGGCCATGGCGGCCAGGCGGGACGGGCGCAGCCCCGCCGTGCGGCTGCTGCTGGGCAGCGCTTGGGCTGTTTCTTGAGGGCCTTTCCCAGGAAAAAAAACAGCAAATCGCTGCTTGTTTCCAACCCGCGCAGGTGTTTGCCAGGCGTTTCACCTGCCCGCGCTCTGTGGGATGCTCTGACTCAAGTCACAGCTGTGCGTTTAACCCGAGGCGTTCTCAGGTGTTTTTGTTAGGTGACACAGCCTCGGCTCTTCAGCCCCTTGCCTCAGCACCCAACGGCCTGGAAGGAAACTGACCTCCTTCGAGCACTCTGCAAATCTGAGTGGATTTTTTCTAATATGCAACTTGTTGCAACTTACACAAAGATACGGGTCATTGCTTACAGTATGGTTGTGAAGATGGGAAACATTGCAACCAACAGCATCAGGTTCACAGCTGATACTTACAGCACTCACTGGGGTGAATTTGCAATGTCAGGTACTCAAAAAATCCAAAGAGCCATATCCTAGGACAGTGATATTTCCTCTGACTTTCAGAAGAAATCCACCCTACACCTGGCAAATGCACGTTTACCCCAAGACAAACACTGTATGGGAGCTTACTGCCCATCCCACAAACATGCCCAACCACACAAACCCATTATTGAAAGAAAGAGATTGACACAGATATATGCTTAATTTTATTTATTACATTTAAGAAATATTAACATCTCAGGATAGCTGGTTTATCACCTAAATCCAGTCATAAGCAACAAAAAAAAAAAAATTCAAATGAGCATTCTTAGATTCATTCCCCCCTGTAAAGAAAAGTTTGTTCAGCTGTATTAAACTCTTATGTGTGACTAAAGGAAAAAAAAAATCATTAAAATGTCTCAACTACCAGGCATCCTGGTTTGTTAATTGTCTGTTGGCACTTGTGTTCACAATCAAGCACTCTGGTTGCTTTGTTATGTTCTGTCATTCTACCCAGAACGGTCTTTTGGTTACTTTTAATTTCTGGATATGTCAGTTTGTTCAAGTAAATTTAAGAAGAAATCTAGGATTTTGTCTTGAGAAGTTCCAGCATTGCTTCCCTTGATCACCCACTTATGAGATAACTGAAGGAAGTGGCTCGCTTTCACTTTTCTGAATCTTATTCAGTAAGAGGTTTAAAACTGAGGTCTTTTTAACTCTGTTTAAACTGAAAAAAGTACAGAAACACTGTCTTCATTTGATGGTGTGCATAAACATTACACTCCATATATAGCAAAAATATGTTTTATTTATAATTTACATTTCCACAAGTGAAAATTGTACATTTTTACATATACAATTTCATTCCATTAAATTTTCACGCATCTACAGAATTTTCACACAATGACACCTGAAACAGTGCAGGCAATAAGAAATTTAAATACAAAAATGTATTTATTAACGAAACAGTAGCTGAGGCCCTGCCTCAATTGAATGTTTTTATTTCCTATAAAAAGTATCTGCTTTCCAGAATTAACACAGGAGCTCTTCTGTAAAAAAAATCAAACCTCAATCTAAACAGACTCATCTGGTTCTGTTTTAACATCTATAGAGGCAGGTGTGCTCTCTTCTGCACAGGCAGCAGGGGTGTCATCAGGTTCTTCTTTCACTTGAGGTGAGTCACAGGACTCATCTGTTTCCTGTTTAACAATGTTCAACATAATATTTAGGGGATTTTCTACAGGGGTCTTGCTGGGAGAGGGTGTGCAATCAAATGATGATGTCTATAAAACAAACATTCACACAGCATTAACACAGTGTTCAAACAACCATTTTTACCTTCTCTCCCTCTCTGTCTCTTTCAAAATGCAAACAGATGGGCAGTAGAGCACTTAAATTCCAAACTTCTACTTTATATATTACTTTCTACTTTATCTAATAACAAAATGTACTATATAATAGCATTACTTTTCCATAATTACTGTCAAATATCATTTCATCACTGTGAGAATAATACTATGTTACTGTAAAATATTCCCAACTATCCCCCCAAAAAGAACTGTTAGCTCCCAAGTCTTAACAAATTTAACATATACTAACATTCATTTTCTCAGTTTCTTAAAATTCTTAAGATTATGCACGTTACTCAACAATAAATTCATAATGGCTTCACTTTAGTTTCACTTATATGACACAAAAACTGTCATGGATACATCATAACTAACTCTAATTACGCATTACAAACTTGCCATTCCCAAGGCCTCTCATTCTTTGCCTAGGCACATGCAAGAGGAACTGATTCTGAAGACCTGCTCTACATAAAGACAGTGATCAAGCAAACAAACTGAAAGCAAAACAATTAAAAAATATGAAAGTAAAGGTTTTCTTACGTTTTGGTAATCTTCGTAACAGGATGGATGGTAAATCTGGAAAATAATTGTTACCCATTTAAATACATTACAAATACAGCAGAAGCACTGGTCAGACATAAACAGATCACACTATTCCTCCAGGACAACAATGTGTAAATCAAGTATGGTGTCAAATGTAACTGGGAAAATACCTGCTGTATGCTTATTTAGGAAAAGCCATCACACAAAAATCTTGTAAGCATAAGGAATTATTTCTGTGTAGCTAAGTACAGAAATAATTGGACCACAACCAACACCCACACTCACAGGAACATTCACAGAATCACAGAATGGATGGAAGGGACATGTGGAGCCAAGTTGCCAAGGACCACATCCTTTGGCTTTTGAAGACCTCCAAAGAGGAACAGGCTCCACCACTGGGCTCTTTCCAGCACGGTCTCTCTTGTAATGAGCAGCCCAGAAGTGGACCCAGTAATCCAGGCAGACTCAACAATGCTAAGTAGAGAAGATAACCTTCATTTATCTTTTAGCAATACAGTATGAGGGAAGCCTAGCGAGTGTTTACAAATAACACCAGGACTTCAAGCACATCCAAAGGTTGAGATATTTATGCACTTGAAAGCCGGAAAACTAAAAGGGGAGTCCTTCAGAAAAGACAGGTCACTGTGGCCTATTTCTTTCTATTATTCTTGTTATGTTTTTGTTTTGCTTTTCAATATAAATGAGTACCGCATATATAAAAATTGGATTACCTTCTCATGCATTCTGATAGCATTCTTTAGATGCCACTCTTCCTCTTCCTCATCCCAGTACTGCTCAAATTGCTCCCGGCAGATTTCACACCTCTGAGAAGTTATTGAAGTAACATGATACACGGTGTTATTAAAACTATTACTGAACACCAACTTCAGGAACTTGGCTGATAACAGTTGTATGTATACATTCATTAAGATAACAATATTAAGACTACAACATTTTACCTCCACACTTCAAAAATTTAACAGAAATTATATGAGTACAGTTGGTAGAATGAACAACAATATTTGTCACTTGAAAAAGTTAAACTTTGCCCCCTCAACGAAGAAGTCCCTGCAAGACACTCTGTAAAAATCTAATGTTGTTTTACTTCAGTTAAGAAAATCTGGTGCAGGGATTTAGTTTATGGCATCTCCCAAACCTCAACTTTGAGTTAGAGAACTGCACAAGTAGTATTAAAACCCTTAACACTTGTCTGCAAAATAAAGTCACCTCTAAGAACAAGGCACAAAATTTTTAAAGACTGAAACAAAAGCCTTTATGGCTTTGTTACCTAGTTTCTTGCAGGCTTAGCATATAAGAACATTTGTATTTAACTGCTATATTCACTGGCTACCAAAACACAGATCTGCTGATTATTTTCAAATCAGAAGATTATGACAGCTCTTCCAAATGCCCATCTTGTAAAGAACTATCTTTTTGCATGTGTGTGTGTAAAGGTAACAAAAATTCAGTTAAGATTATCATTTATTGAATCCCAAGCAGCCATTTCCTACTTGGAAATCCAACAAGCTTCCTTTATTTATGCTACCTATGGAAAAACTCTAACATGCTTCTCCCTTTCAACCATGGAACACCTACAAGCATAGAAGCTGTTGAACACTGGTTATTTATACTGCTACTGCCACAAGGAAACAAACGTTACACACATGTAAATGCAAAACCTAGGAAGTGACTGCACAAAAACAAGAATTCAGTCTACTTACAGACCACATGGGTTAAGGCAGGCAAGCTGAAACTCACCTCAACTGCTCCAGCTGGTCCAGCAGGGACACTCTGAAACTCCTTTTCTTTTGCAGCTTCCTGTGTCTTCAGTACAACTTCTTCATGAGCTTTTTCGAAAAATTGGCTTTTTGCACGCTCCTCTAAGTCGGCTATTTCTTCAAACTCAATCCAATCCTAGGGACAAGTATTCATTCACAATTACAAATAGCCAGAAAAGGTTAAACTAAATACATTTGAAAAAAAAAAGAAAAATGAAATCCCAGAAGTAACAAATGTAATCTATCTTAGTTCACTAAAACTGAAACAGTCCTAGGAAAGGCCTTTATTCTTCAACTTTCACTCCATTCTCAGTCCAACCAAAGCAGTACGAACAATTCCAAGCTGCTTATTGTTCACCTTATAACTCCTTTTGTTGTGGCAGGTATGTATAAGAACTACTTGAAATATCAGACATCACTGATCACCAAACTCCAATGATACGCAACTTTAGCTGCAATCCCACAGCATGTATGTAGAACACCAAACCCAGCCCTTAATTAACAAGGCACATATATTGCATTACTCACCGTTACACTGTAGTACCACCTCCTGTGTGTAATTTTTCTGCTAACATCTTTTTCTGAACGGTTCTGACGATAATGCCAATCTAAATGGTCTGCATAAACGTCTGTCTGTGAAGTAGTAAATCTCATTCCACACGAGTAGCACTGAATTCCAGTGTACAGTCGATTTATAACACTGTCATAACGCCTACAAAAACAAAAAGAAGTTAACATTTCTTTGGAAAGAAATGGGAAGTTTCTCAGTAAGTTGTTTCAAGCGACCTCAGGAGTAGAAGAAAAGCATTTTCTCCTATAAGGTTAAAGCATATGACACAGTCAACTGAAAGCATTCAAGTAAGTAAATTAAAAGCATTCAAATAATCATTAACTACTCACAAGGAACACGCTAGTATTGTTATATCACACCTACTCAACTGTCTTGGATTAACTATCTAGATACCACCATGCCATTATTCCTAGTGCAGTGTAAGCTCATGCCACAATACGCACTGTCTGAGTTCTTCAACTTTAAAGTTTGTGAGGTCTGGGACATCGTGATCACCCTGGTCATCATCCTCCTCTTCAGCAGCTGGCTGCGCCGATGATTCATTCGCTTCTTTAAAACAAAGAATTTCATCAAAATTTCAGTTCATTTTCAGAACAAAATAAGGTGCTTCTGAGTATTATATTGATTCAAATATTAATAAATATAATCTGAATATGCTAACCTGAACGATAAGAGTTGAGTCAGTCTCATAGTTTGAAAAGCACACAGACACTATGCTACTCAGAATGACAATTTAAGATGATGCTATTTTATCTAAGCCTCTGGCACTAAAATTCAGTATTCAAAAAGGCACAAATATTTCAGAAACTGACAAGAATCTGGTTAAAATCCAGAACAAGTTACTGAGGCAGGGTGCCAAAAACAAAACCAGAGACTCTAAG